CTTCGCGTGCGCTTCGCCGACGCCCTGGGCCTGGAGTTGGCGCAGGTCAAGGTGTTCAACGCGGGAGACGACCCGTCTGTGCCCCTGCACGTGCTGTCGCGGCTCGCCATCAACTCGGACCTGTGTTGCAGCAGCCAGGACCTGGAGTTCACCCTGCAGTGCCTGGTGCCCGACTTCCTGCCTCCAGTCGAGGCCTCCGACTTCGGCGAGCGCGTGCTGCGGCAGCTGGTGTGCCTGGAGCGCGTCACCTGCTCCGACCTGGGCATCAGCGGGACGGTGCGAGTGCGCAACGTGGCCTTCGAGAAGCAGGTGGCGGTGCGCTACACCTTCTCTGACTGGCACAGCACGCACGAGGCGGTGGCGCGGTGGCGTGGGCCCGCCGGCGCCGAGGGCACCGAGGACGTCTTCGCTTTCGGCTTCCCGGTGCCGCCCTTCCTGCTGGAGCTCGGCTCACGTGTGCACTTCGCGCTGCGCTACCGAGTGGCCGGTGCCGAGTACTGGGACAACAACGATGGCCGCGACTACAGCCTCACTTGTCGCAACCACGCGCTGCACATGCCGCGAGGGGAGTGCGAGGAAAGCTGGATCCACTTCATCTGAGCCCTGCAGGCGGCCGCTGACTCTGGGGAGGGCATGGGGGCCGGTGATTCCTCCTCCGCCTCTGAGGGCCTTTGCATGTGTCATGGACGTGTCCCTGTCTATGCTGTTGTTATTTATTACTGTGGTGTTAGGAGCGTTCACCCATAGTGGATGTCTTCTCAGGAACGTTCTGGATTTAATAAGCTAAGTCCTGCTGTGCGTTTGTGCCCAATGTAAACAGAATGTCCAGTGGCCCCTTGAGACATTCCTGCCCCAGGGCAAGGAAACCCTGAGACTAAATTCGTTTGCCAGTGCCTGTAGCCTTCTAACACTGGGCAACTATTAATAGGCAAGAAATTTATGCCTCATCAGTCACCACACAACCATTCCTGGGAGTTGAGGCTGCCCTGGCCAGGCTGTTTCCTACATCCACAGCTGAAACGGAGGAAAAGGCTTCAAGCTTTTTAACTGGCAAAGTCCCTTCCTTTCTCTGCAGTCACTCTTGTCACGCCATGTATTTCTCATGGACACGTCTGACAATTCTGTATCTGCACATTATCAGGTCATTCTGTTTAGGTTTGAAATTACCGGAACACTTTAAGAAATCCTGCCTTAAATTATTTCAGTCTCCAGGTGACTACAGAATTTCATGCAACAGCGCCCTTTGCAATTACCTTCCCGATGATTGCGGTGTTGCGGTGATTCACCACAGGGTCCCAGCATTCATCTTTGAGAAGTCCAGTTACCTAGTGGAACTAGAAGGTGTTTTCAGGGATAGCCAGAGTATGGAGCAGAAGTAATTCACAAATACTTAAACTTTTCAATTGTTTTGAATTGTATTTATATGTCATATTTTATCAGCTACCTGCCAACTTTATTCTTTGTGCCTTCGGACAGGAGAATTTCCAACATCTTCTGCACTTGTTAACCAGTTTTAAAATTTTAAATGCTTTTTAAAAACCCTCCAGCTGAAAAGCCTGCCCTCTGCAAAGCATCACAGTGATTTAAAACTCCCACTGAAGGGCTGATGAGAATCTGTTGGTGCTTAGCAAGGGCTCTCTGACAGAGGTGCTAGAACTGAGGTGTGAAAAATCAGCTGAGACAGACAGGATCTTCAGTTAATGGAATTTGTTCCTAGTATAGCTGAAACCAGTGTAATCAATTTTGTGATAAACTCACCAGTGAATTAACTCTAAATTTTTGAATGCTTGTTGGCATTTGTGAAATCGATAGTTAAAAGATGCATTTTGCCTTTTAACCAATTTGTTTTTGATAATGGCATCCTTTGTGTTTTTAAAATTCTAAGAGCGGGGATAGCTTTCTTTGATACCTTTTAATATAAGAACACTGAATTTTCATTTAAAATACTGTGATTAAATCGCACAACCTCTGGCTTAGCACTGTGCGCTACATTAACATGCAAGAGAGAGAGAAGGCTGGTTGCATTTCCTGCTATTTAACAGACTGTCCAATTGGGTCAGCAAGCCTGGGAGGGCCTTGGCTGCTATGCCCTTAGCCCCTGCCCAGAGTGCCAGACAATGGTCCAGAGTATTCAGGTGGGAGTTAGAGCTGCCAAGCATATTGTTGTTCGAAGGCATGTAAAAACTCTTGTAACCTCTGTGAAAATCACTTGCCAAAATGGTTCTGGTCATGGAATATAAATGTTATTATCTTCAATATTAAGAGAACCACAACGTGCCTTTTAAAGAGTATCAACATTCTGAAGTTTAAAAGCTCGAATATACTTGTCTAGCTGGTAAGCTGTGCAAACAGCTTGAGAACTCTCAGACTCTAAAAGTTATATTGCTTATAAGTTAAAACTTTGTAGTGAATTGTGCAATTGTTGGATTGTCCCCACAAGCATATTCTAACATCTGCCATTTAACGTTATTTTACCCAAGCCTAAGTATTAAAGTATATGTGCACAGTGGCTGTGTGCTGTTATGCTGGAGTGTGTTTTCTGGTGGACTGATTATAGAAGACAAAGCTTTGGACATGTGATTGTTCACATCATTTCATGTATATCCCTTAGCCTTCCCAAAACACTGGTAGGCCTAGGGCCTGGCCAGAAATGAAGTAAGTTATATGATTGTGCCTCAGCTTCAGTGGCAGAGTTGGCTATGTCTTTGAGAAACTGAAATACAATCTTGCATGCCAGATCAGCATTCCATATGAAGACAACTCTAGGAAGATACGCGGGACTTGATACTAATACTTCTGTGATGGCATTTTTCATGCCTGCGTATGGAATCATTAGGGTGTGTGTCTGCCATCTCTCCTGTTGGGTTGTCAGGAAAGTCATGATGCATTTTTGCATAGAAACAAAAATCATCTTGTGACCCTCACCCAAACACAAGAGCTTGCACACAAGGAGAGGGAAACTAATATGTACTGCATCCTCTTATTTGCATAACCTCAGTGCTAGTTGCTTTATATATCTGATTTCCTTTCATTCTTTGATTATGCTGCCTGGCAGATAATATTCCCATTATTTTTAGCTAAAGAGAATGAAGCTCAGAGAGTTTTAAGCATTTCACCTGAAGTCCCACAGCTGGAAAGAAGCAAACTGAGCATTCAAACCTATCTTAAATTCAGGGTTTGTTCTGCCACATAATATGGCATTAGGATGTTTCAAATAAGTGATCATTAAATTTAAAGGAAAGTCAAATTCTGACTATGATTGATAAGGTTTTCTATTGAACACCATGATCTAAAACCTTCTAAAACAATTCATGTGAGAGTAAATGAGTGATAAACATTTTCATTCCACACTGTGGTTTATTGATGTTTACTAAATAATTCCTCAGCTTTCTGAATATATGAAACAATAAAAACTTTTTTATTTGGAGAGGTTTTTGCTATAGGGTGCATGCACTTGCCAGAGAGACAGAGACAGAGAGAAAGGGAAAAATCCCTCCCCGGGAGGATGGCCTCACCGCAATCCCTTCTCCTCCATTCTCCTCTCGGGATCTTGGCACGCATGCACACGCGCCCGGCATGAGTTTAAGCCACTGGGTCCGGGACTTGAACCCCAGTTGACTACATGGGAGTCCAGCGACATAGCCATTACGCTAACTGCTGGTCCCAACAATAAAAACAATTCTAAACTTTTTTCCCTCTCTACTAAAAAGTGGGAAGCTGAGAAATCACCACTTTCAACATTGAAGTGCACTAGTAAAATGTGTCTATTCACCTGAAAGAGGTTAAATCTATTAGGGAAAACTAGACATGGAAATAATTATATAAATTTGTCAGGTCATGAGGTTGAAGCATTTTATAATTTCTCACTCTTTAAAACTCCAAATTAACCTTTAAATGAGTAAAGAATTCAACAATATTGGGAACTTTGAATATATAAAATCCTCTTAAATCCTTGAATATGTTACATTGTATACATAATTTGTAGGCTCTGAATTAAAAAGTTAAGAGCTCATAATTAAGTTATGTGAAACTAGGATGTCAAGAAGTCTATAATTCTAGCTAACAGGCTTTAAACACTTGAAATTTTATATTCTCTGATTTATTAAGCATTGGTCCTTAGCTGAATTATTCTGTTCCCTTGAGTCTATATTTCAAAGTGTTTTTTACATTGGGCATTTAAGTCTCACTTCAATATTTTAAACAATTAGTGCCTTTTTACATAGGAAATTAAGATGTTACTAAAACAATTTTAAATTTTGGTTTGGCAACATCTACAAAAAGTTTTTGTACATGCCCTTTACTCCCGCAGTACTTCTAGAAACTTAGCAAACATAAATGTTGAATAAACTAAAAGGTTGTTTCCTGCAGTATTATTTATCACAAAAGTGAAAAATAAGAAGCCTCTTGAATATCCATCAGTAGGATCAGATTTAGGGGATTAGGACAATAATCCAGATGCTTGATTAATTATACAACTGTTTAAAAGGCGGAACTACATCTCAATCAGGTGGAACGCTCCAAGTTGCAGAAACGCTACAGCGCGCCCTTTCTGTTTTTAAGAAACATGGGATGCCCAGATGGCTGTGTACCGAAGGTCGCCTCTGGCGAGGGGGTGATGAAGGCCTGTCATCGCGGGCTGTGATCGCTTCGAAGTGGCTTGCACGGTTTTCACACAAGCATGCAGTCGTTTTATCATCTAACCTGTTTTTAAAAATGAGAACAGCCTAAGGAGCCCAGGAATAGATCTTTGAGGGCTCCGCTCCCTGCCACCTCGGGACTGCGGACTGGGCCCTGCACCTGCACCTGCACGAGGCTCTGTGCCCTCTGCCGGCCGCAGCCAGGCCTTGCCGGCAACCGGACCCTGCTGTGGTGGCCCGGTCCCCGTTCCCAGTGCTCCGGCCCTAACCTGTCGCGCGGCTCGGGGTTGCAGAGCCCGGCGGAGCGCCCCTTTGGGATCAGACGAACTCTCGGTCCCTTCCGGCTTGCGCGTCCGGCAGGCAGGGAAAGGGCCTCAGGCCCGCGGCTCCTCCGGCGGCGTGTCCAC